TACTATAGAAGATTCAATAACTTTTCATCGAAAGATTCCATACAGAGTGAAAAGACAAGGCTACAAGCTGGAGAAAATATCTATAATACTTGTCTATATACAACAAGATTATTATCCAGTATAGGGCTCCAGAGAAAAATCCCTATTAAAATAAGCCAGATGTAGTGGCTGGCACCTGTGATTCCAGCTACATGGCAGCTGAGGCAGAGGATCACATGTTTGAGCAAATTGATACTCTATTTCAAAATGTAGAAGAGGGGCAGTATTGGAGATGCCAAGACCTTGGTTTAATCCTTGGTACCGTACTGAGGGGAAAAAAAAAAAACAGAAAAAGAAAGAATAGAAAACCCAAATGACATGTAAGATGCTTTATCCTAATTAGTAATCTAAGAAATGTAAACTAAACCATGCTTTTCATGTTGATAGAAATTTAAGAATCTGATAAATGGTTCCAAAAAGGGTGGATTGAGGAGATATCACATTTATTACTGGTTGGAATTGAAACTGATACTACTATTTAGTTAAATAGTTTATTACTTAGTTAAATTGAGCTTGTATATAACCTCAGACCTAGAAATTCTACTACTAGATATACACTGTAGAAAACTTGAATCATAGTAAGATATCAAGAACATGCAAAACGAGTGAAAAAGACTTGCTGAGTAGTTAATCACCTGCACAAAATCCTCCAAAACTCTATTCCTTTAGTTGAACAACTAATAATAGTTGTTATGGTCGTAGCCTTGGCATCTGTTTCAGGAAAACCTGATGTCCAAAACTAGCTGCCAAAGACTTAAGGTGCTAAAAGGCCAAAGAAAGAGGTAGGTAGATCCAGAACTGAAGGGAGTACAATGATTTTGGGAATTAAGGACAGAAGAGTGCCATGGTGGCAACAAGACAGTAGGATCTCTGCATTCCAAGGCAGGAGAAAGGGGTTTATATGCTAAAATATACAAATTGCAGCCCAATGTACTTAGGCTTACCAAAAACTATCAACTATCTAGACTTTACTGGCAGGTACAATACCGTTGGCTAACAACTTTATCCTGTGTGGTGTTAACAACTTTATTCTATATGGTGTTTGAAATACATGCCAGGGTCACCAAATACACAAAATGACAATTACAAACAGTAACAATAGCTCTAATCATGCAAGCTAGATCTGGATGACTATAATCGGGACTAGCCTACAGTAGGTTAGTACTACAAATAAACAATAAGTTTTTGGTATATTGCCACTGAGATTTTAGGATTGTTACCCCAAACTCAAACTCTGACCAGTTCAAGAGAATCTTATCTTTCACTGTCATATAAAATTCAAAATTGACTTTTCTCAATTTGTAGAAAAAAACTAATGATCAGAGTACACATTGGAGCTGGGTGTGCTGGTGTATGCCTGTAATCCCAGCACTTGGAGAGCTAAGGCAGGAGGGTCCTTGGAGTTCAGGGATAGCATAAACTACATCACAAGACTCTGTCTCCAAAAAAATAACAAAGACACACAAAGGGAAAAGATATGGAAATGTTGGAAAACAGTTGGCATTATCTAAAAAAGCTGAAGACATATGTATCCTACAATCCAGTAATCACAGTCCTAGACATACATAAAAGAAAAGTGTATACATACATATACATGTGTATATGAATATTTTTGGCAACATTGCTCAAAAAAAATAAAAAACTAGAAAATAATTCAAATGACCAGTGTAGTAGAATGAAGAAACAGTGATTCATTTAAACAAGCAAATACTATATAACAATGAAAACAAACTAGAACTATTAGACATAACAACACATACGATTTTGTTGATACTGCTGAACTAAAGAAAACAAAGAATTTAAACAGAATGATTCCATTAACAATGAAATTTCAAAAACATGGTATTTTTATTTTGTTAGTACTAAGGATTAGTTGCAGGCTCTTTGCACTGAGCTATATTCCTAGTCCTTTTTATTTTATGTTTTGAGAGTCTCACTAAGTTGCCGGATCAGCCTCAAAGTTACAATCCTCCTGTTTCAGCCTCTGAGAGTACTAGAATTACAATTGTGTGCCATCACATCAAGCTTATTTTTGTTCTGGTTTTGTTTTAGAATCTGGTTTTGATATAGAATCTTGCTATATTATCCAGGCTGGCCATGAAAGCTGGTCTGCAGGCAAATACCATAGCACCCAGCTCTTTGGGATGTTTTATTTTGTTTTGTTTTACCTCAAACTCACAACCTTGCACTTGCCAGGCAGGCACTTATGCTGCTGAACCAAATCCCCAGCCCCTTTAGTTTGTTTTCTATGGATCAAATCCAAGACCTCAGGCATACTAGGCAAGAGTTTCTACCACTCAGCTACTTTTCCACCACTGGAATTTTTTTAATTAGCCAAACATCTCATCTGAAAATAAGGTAACTTTGTTTTCTCCTTTATAAATACTGTGGGGCTTTTCTGTTTTTCTTCTTACTACACTGACAAGAACCTGTTCACTGACTAATTTATTATGCTCACATGTTATAAAAATATTTTTAATTTTTTATGTGTTGTTTTGTTTTTGAGACAGGGTTTCACTGTGTAGTCTGGGCTGGCTTTGAACTCACAGTGATCCTCCTGCCTCAGTCTTCCAAGAACTGGAATTAAAAATTTTTAACATAGGAAACAAAGAGATATTCCACAGTGGAACTCAGGTACTACTGGCTCCTCTCAAGTTTATTCCTTCATGAACTTAGTCATCCCTTGTCTCTCAAAAGAATGAAACCCTCCAGTGTGAATGAAAAATGTTTATTAAAAATTGTGGTTACTCTAATAATTTAAATTTTTGGCTACTAGAACCAAGTTGAACCCATCTATACTTTCAGGTTAATCCACTTGTCCACTTGTATCTTATGTCGTATTTTTCAAACTCAGTGTACAGTAATGAAAGGAATATAAACAACACCATTTAAAGTGTGTGCTAACTATCACCCAATTATTTTATATTTATATAGTATTGAAGGATTGAGAAATACTTAGGGGGGGCAGGAATCAAATCTATGAACAGTCCCAAAGTAACAAAAGATGCAAGAAGGAACTTAAAATCTCAAGGTTACATTAGGCACTAACATCATTAGGAAAGCAACAGAATCTACCACATCCCTAGAGTTTTGAAAGCCAAAGTAAAGCCTGAATCCCCTAAGCCCATTTACTCATCCATCTCAAGCAAATTATTTCTCTAAAGGGTCTCAAGATATTTCCTCAGCCCAAACAGTTTGAAAAACAATTTCCCTTTTGTACTTGGACTTTTCAGAGTATGTCCCATAAAGTCTGATGGTTGGCTTTTCATCTCTCCAGCTTATACAAAACTGATTAGTGTTAAGTAACAATTTGCCTCTCTGGAAAATGAAACCTAGATTATGGCAGATAGCTCTCCAGATTTGCTCCTGAATCAATGACAAGTACAGTGTAGCACAAATAGGTTATCAAAGGCACATCAGAGGTCATGTAAGTTCTATTATCCCACCCCAGTATGGATGAGTTTTCAATTTCAAGAGACTATTCTACCAGGGATCTCTCCAGGATTAACATTTCCCTAGCAAGTACTGTATCTCAATATCATGGTATTAATGTCACAAACCAGATTTCCCTTTTATTTGTTGACTAAGGGACCCTCGAATTTATCTAAAATTAGATAATACAATGTGCCATTCAGAAAATCAGGTATAATGATCTTTTAAATAAATTTCTGTCTAAGTGGGCATAGTGGGAAATGTTGTAATCAACTTGTAAAAGATTTAGTTTATTAAAATTCATTTTTAAACTCCCCAATTACTAATAACTTGTATTTTATGTTTTACTACAAGTTACAATAGGCCAAACAAAGGGTAGAAAAAAGATGTTTGTGAACAAGTAGCAAAAGCATCAGAAGACTTAACTCTTTCTAAAGTCTTATAATAGAGTTAAAACTTCAAAGTGATATTAGACAAAAAAAATTTTTAAGTCACTGTAAAGTTCTCCCCTATTTTTATGGCTATAGTTCCTAGCTTATAAGAACAACTAAATCAAATGTATAATAACTTCACCTAAGCAAGCCCATGACAATCCAAGAATCCAGACTACAGAAAACTAAAATATTACTCTGGAAGCTTACTCAAGACTCATTTGGATGACAAGTGTTACCCAAACACAAATAATCTGTTGGGGATATAGCTCAGGGACATAAGCACCTGTCTGATAAATGCAAGATCCTGAGTTCAATCCCCTTTACCAAAAAGAAAAAAAAAAAAAAATCTGTAGTAAACCTGGACCAAGAAAATATATAGAAGGTACATGTTGGCAAAAGATGTGACCCTTTATACATCGTGGTTCTCTTTTCTAAACATTATATTTAAAATTGTTTTGCCAAAAATCTCTACTTTTCTTTGCTTATAAATAAATACCCAGTTTCATTTTATTTAGAAATTAAAAATGAGGAACCAGACAATACATGACGTAGAGAACTGACATAAAAACTCTCTTAAATGTGGCAATGGGAGGGACTGGGGATTTAGCTCAGTGGCATAAGCACCTGCCTTGCAAGCAGGCAGTAGTGAGTTCGATCCCCGGTACCGATGATAAAAAAAAAAAAAAAAAAAAAAAAAAAAAATGTGGTAATGGGAAACATTAGGAAATGTAAAAATTTTAAGATTTCATTTTAACAAACAATAGTCAATTTCACTTAAAACTTTTATTCTTATAAAAATTTAGAATTAGCTTTTCAAGTAAATTCTCAAAGTAGAAGTATCCTTGAATACACCAATTGCATTAAATAGAGCTATATGTCTAAAAGGGGTTCAGAAGAAAGACTACTCAGGCCATGAGATAAAAATGTTAAAACAAACAAAACTTACCACACTTATTTTTACTCTAAGCAACAGGCAGATAATTCAGTGGCAAATTCTTTAGCATCACCCCAATTAACCACCCCTCCAGGCAATACTGATCATCATTTATTTGGCAGTCCAAAGTTAGTGGGGAGAAGCAATTCTGAAGTCCTTACCTTGAGAGCACAAAATATGCAGGAATCTCCCATGCACTTGTGAGTAGTGAGCTGCCGAAAGCTACGTCGGAAGATGTCCAAGTGCCACAAAACCTGACAAAAAAGGGAAAATATCTCACTGCTTGATAAAGAGCCATCCTTTTAATTTTAAATTCAATTAAACATACATGATTGCAGAAACAATTTTTATTTCAAAGAAAAAAGCTCATTCTAGTAAATTAAAACAAATACTTAAAAAGTTGAGATGTCTAACAAGAGGAATAAACGAGCATATTCCGAGGAAAATATTAATTTGATTTCTTTTGCTTTTGTTTTCTTCAAATCAGTTCTCATTATATAGCCCAGGCTGACCTCAAATTTGAGGCATGTTACAAATCTGTGATACTCCTGCTTCAGTCTCTAGTGCTGAGACTGTAGGGATGTGCCACCACACCTAACAAACACATTAATCTGAACATGATGTTAAGTTTCCATAGGAAAAAGATGGTATTTCATGTATCACGTGTGATTCTGAAGAAGAAATGTATGGGTTAAAAGCTGCAGAATAGAGGTAAGGGTATATCCTCAGTGGTAGAGGGCTTAGCATGCATAACTTCCTAGATTCAAATCCCAACATGACAGAGAAAAAAAAAAAAGTTTCAGAATATTGATCTGTTTTAATGTTATACATAAGAAAATCAAGAATATTTTTAAACTTACATTAAAATTGAATTATAGCATGAAATTTTACCATTAGAACTAGGATTCTTAGGGGCTGGGGATTTAGCTCAGCGGCATAAGCGCCTGCATTGCAAGCAGGCAGTCGCGAGTTCGATCCCTGGTACCGATAAAAACGAAAAAGACCGAAAAAAAAAAAAAAAAAGAACTAGGATTCTTTTGATTTGGTTTGATTTTGATTTTCTTTTTAGTTGAAAAGTCCATTCATAAATCTTTTATTATACTTACATGAACTTAATATATATATTCTTAGTATAATTATGTTTATTCACGATTCATGAAAATTTCTTAAGACATTAAACAAAGCTAGCCATCACCAAGTTATTTCCCCATTAGCACATGCATGTTAGAAAAGTATCCAAAAAATCATAAAAGCAAAAAAGCCAAAAAAAAAAGTTAAAATTATGGGGTTTTTTGTTTACTGCTATGCTTGATATACATGAAATAATGAATACCAAGCAATTCATTTTTACCACCTCTTTACACTTTCATTTGTTCTTAGGTTGCCTGAAACATTTAAATACAAATAAAATGTGAAGCAAAAATAGTGAAAGCAAATAGCATTATTTGTAAAGACAAATAATGGAATATGGACCACTTATACCCTGAACTAGAGTAAATGTATGATAACTTTGTCTTAAGGAACACCCCTGCAGCTGTAGGGAGAGATGTACACACTGAGACTACTTATTCCCCAGTAACATGGGGCTCCTCACATAGAAGACCCATAGGGTACTGTCTTTACCACAGCCTCAGAGGCACTCCAAACCTCAAAGTACCTACAATAACTACTCCTCTGTCTGGAATCAATGATTTCTTCTAATTCCCACCAGAACAAATCAGTATGTAGGCAATTTTCTTTGCTTAGGCATGGAAGCAGTTTTAACCCTGGCCTTTGTGAAGCCACAGTGTACCAAAAGTACTATGTATAATAATTGTAACTTGTATAAAAATTCCACTTCCCCATATGGGCCATCTCAAAATGAAAACAGATAACAACTCCCTAAATATTAACTGGCGGGGCTGGGGATTTAGCTCAGCGGCACAAGCACCTGCCTTGGAAGCAGGCAGTCGTGAGTTCGATCCCTGGTAACAATAAAAAGACAAAAAAAAAAAAAAAAAAAAAAATTAACTGGCTCTATTCCTCTACTATTAAACATAAAACCACATAGGAAATATAGAAATTCAAATAGAAGTAACATAAACTTGTCATAAACTATAAACAAAAACTATTTGGTGGGGGCCGGGGATTCAGCTCAGTGGCATAAGCACCTGCTTTGCAAGTGCTCGGTCATGAGTTCAATCTCCAGTACAAAAAAAAAAAAAAAAAAACTATTTGGTGGGACAGCATGGATGACAAACGGTCTACTGTGTACATTCTAGAATGAGGCAGACAAAAGTTAGGCCGGTTAATTTTCCCCTCCTTTTCCTGTTTCAGCTTCATCTCCTTAGCTTTCTGATGTCTACAATGTCAAGTTGTCTCTCAGTAATTGCACTATTAGCATGCTGTCCTGTTATGCCTCTTCACTTAATGTATCAAGTTCAGCAATGGCTTCATCATCTATCTGTCTTTGTCAGAGAACAGGCTTTCTCTGGAGAGTTCAGAATCTCATAATAGAGCACAGAGAAGCTAAGAGCCAGACCCAATCTGATAGGACGCAGTGGTTGAATTTCCTTTTTGCTGATTTCAAAAGCTTCTTGGTATGCTTGTTGTGATTGATTCACCATCCCTTTCTTGTCATCACCAGCAGCAACCTTGGCCAAGCAAGAGTAGTAGTCTCTCTTCATTTTCAAATAGAAGACTTTGCTCTCTGCTTGTGAAGCACTGGGGACCAAGAACTTTTCCAGAAGAGTACATCATTGAAGATATCCCTTAGTTCAGTCCCAATTTTCTCTGTATTCTCGAGCCATCGCCATCTGCCTCTTTTTCTCAGCACCTTCAGTCTTTTGCTCATTACTTGAGAAACCCTCCAAGAAGACCTAGGCTTCTTTTTTATAAAACATTTTTATAAGCAACAGGGAGAAGATTCCTCTCCTCATTAGCTAATTCAGCACAATGCTCATTTATAGACTTCACGCAGGCTGCCATGTGCTCAGCCTGTTTGGCCAGTTTGGTCTTCTGCACCAGCTCATTTTTATTCACGCCTAGATGTTGGATGGGCGCAGTGATCTCTGAGCCTTGCTTTTTATTTTTTGAGACAGGCTCTTGCTGTGTAGTCCAGGCTAGCCTTGAACTCATTATATAGCCCAAACACACAGTGATCCTCCTGCCTCAGTCTCCTGCCTCAGCCTCACAAGTACTGGGATTACAGGCATGTACCACCATGCCTGGCTCTAGAATTAGAATTTTTTTTAACTCTGAGAGACTATATAACTACCTCAAATTAGTAGGATAAAAAATAACAGTAATATCAAAAGTGATGATAGTTTTCATAGCACATGCCCTTGATGTACTATGATAAGAATGACACTTTACCTTTATGGCTTTTCTCCTCATAGTCCATAACCCTTGTATAATCATGATAAATCAGTCAAATTTCAATATAGGGGCAACCTACAAAATAACCATTACTATTCAAAATTGTCAGTGTCATCAGGCACAAGGAAATTCTCAGAAACTTTCATAGACAAAAGGATCCTAAAGAGATATGACAAGTAAATGTAAATGTGGTAATCTGGGAGGAATCTTAAAACAGAAAAACATTAGGACTAAAAACTAAACTATCATAACAAGCTAGTAGTAGTAGAAGACACCTGTAATTCTAATGCTCAGGAGACTGAAGCAGGAAGACTGTTATGAGTTCAAGGCCAGCCTGGGCTACAGAGTGAGTTCAAGGCCAGCTTGATCTACCTAGAGAGATTGCCTCAAAAAAAATAAATAATTGCTGGATGTGGTGGCACACATTTGTAATTCCACCACTTGAGAGGCTGAGGCATGAGGACCACTGTGAGTTCAAGGCCAGCCTGGGATACATAGTGAGGCCCTATCTCTAAATAAATAAATAACCGGAAAAGTATATTATCTCATAATAATTACTATTTTTAACTTACAACATGATTATAGTAAAGACATGAAAACCATTGTTTCAGGGTCAGGGATTTAGCTCAGCAGCACACTGCCTGCCTAGTAAGCATGAGGTTGTGAGTTTGATCCCTGGTACCAAAAAACAAAAAAGAAGAAGGAGGAAGAAAAACAAAACCATTGTTTCAACCTTCATGGGTACAGAAATATGTATGTGTATATAGAGTTTGCATTATACGGCACAGGATACTGGAATGGAAAATTATTTTTTAACACTGTCTCAACTAACAATATAAATAGAACATACAGAAAGAAACACAATTTAAAACAAAAGACTATTGTCAATGGCTGGGGATTTAGCTCAGCGACATAAGTGCCTACCTGGCAAATGCAAGGTCGTAAGTTCAATTTCCGGTACCCACAAAAAAAAAAACGACTATTGCCCTTCAAGAAGTAAACAAACACATTTATGTCAATGTCTTACTTTGCCTGTTTCTAAATTACAAAAAGTATTATCAGTATATAAACTCACTCAAAAGTCTTTATGTAGCCAGGCATGGAGGTGCTCATTTATAATCCAGTACTTGGGAACCAGAGGCAGGACAACTGCTGCGAGTTCAAGGCCACCCTGAGCTACGCAGGGAGTTTAAGCCAGCCTGAACCACACAGTGAAACCCTGTCTCAAATCAAAAAGTCAAAAAAAAATCTTTATGTGGCTGGGAGTGGTGGCACATGCCTGTAGTCCCAATTTTAGGAGGATAAAATTTTTTTTTTTTATTTGTACCGGGGATTGAACTCCTGAGTATGCTTGCAAGGCAGGCACTTATGCCACTGAGGGAAACCCCAGTCTCAGTAGTCCCAAAATTTTTTTGTTTGTTTTTTGTTTTTTTGGACAGGATCTCGCTATACATCTCAGGCTAGCCTTGAGCTCACTTTGTGGCCCACTATGGTCTTGAACTTGCAACAACCTTCCTGCCTTAGCCTCCAGATAGCTGGGATTACCAGCATGTGCCACCACTCCTGACTGTAATCCCAATCTTTATGTGGTGGTGCATGCCTGTAATCTTAGTACTTGGGAAGCTGAGACAGGAGGAGTACTGAAAGTTTGAGGTTAGTGTGGGCTACATACTGAGTTCAAGGCCAGCAGCCTGAACTACATAGGCAGATCTTGTCTCACATACACACAAAAAACTTTATGTATCATCTGGGATACATAAACTTTATGTATCAACCTTATCTAAATGCATGAAATCTGTGATAGTCATTAGGGAAAATATTTAAACTCTCTCCACATGTTTGACAGCACAAGATCTTTTTTAATGTTTTCAAGTAATAAACTGAAAACTAAGAGGCTACGAAACTTTTATTAAATAGATAAGTTTAGCTGGATTTTAATATAAAAGGAGAAATTTAGGTACTATTACCTAAGTAAGCTCATTCTATAAAAAGGACTAAAACCAGAATTCAGGTCTCCTAATTCCTGTCTTCTCTCATAGCATACATTGTCCTGTCTTCTCTCATAGCAACTTGTTTTTTCATTATACCTGAGGAGTCAAGCTAATAGTTTATCAAAGTATAATTATCTTGCTAGCAAATTTTATTTAATTTTATTCTGAAAAGCAGAAAAGACAAAACAGTCACTTGAATGTTAGGCTAAAGAAAAATGAACGTAACACTCTGGGCCTGACTACTAGGTAGAACAATCAGACGAAAGCTTTGCAGTTCTGAGACCACTCCAAAATCACATGCAACAGCAAAAGAAAAAATCTAGGGCAGATAATCACTTTAGGAGAATTTAACTTCCAGCAGCTCTTTTCAAGCATAGCTAACCAGACACCAATTAAGAACCAAAACTAGAGAGCTCAGAGGGAGGAGATGAAAGAATGATCAAACACTGGACACCATTCAGTGCATAAACTAGGCACAGAAAACTATGAGACAAGAACAACATACTTAGAACTCTTATACTTGTGGAAGTGATTTTGTTTTCTAAACTAGAGAAAAGCATCTAGGGTGACAAGCTATCTTGTCCCACATGAAAAAAGGAAGCAGTAGAGGCTGTTAGATTAAAAAACTGATAAACAAGTAGAAAAATCACCTAGTCCAGGTAAATAGCAGTTATTATTTCTACTATCATTATCACTTGGTTTTTCAAAAAAGTTAATTGATTAAAAAATCTCAATTAAGAGACTTACCTAAGTGATAAACAGAATTGCCTAATCACACTGATAAAAGATGTGCCCAGGCTACTGACCTCAAACATAATTTGTCAAGTATTATACTTAAAGGAATTGTCAAAATACAGTTCTGGATACTTAAAAGTCAAAGTCCCCTTACCTGTAGTGCACTGTTGAGGAAGCAGCTGTTTTGTCCTGGCTCATTGCTGAGGCCTTTGCTTGGAGCTATGGAGGTTGAGCTTCGAGGAGCAAACATCCCTTGAACGGTACCACGGCTCCCTGAAAAATAATTTCTTTTCCAAGACATTATTGTTCACATTTAGCCTGAAAATACAAAGAAGGCTTTGTATCTTTTTGGCAGGGAATATTCATCTGCTGTAGTCCTTGAAATAAATTTAGTGAGCTTATCTTGCAAGACTTTGAGTTTACAACTTTCCAAACATCATATCATCAGCAAAAGGGAGTCAGATATCCTCTTAGAGCCAGCGCTGTCCCTCACTTATTCCAGTGTTCAAAATGTTACATGACATAAGACTAGCATAGAGAAGTGCTCAAGTACAGTTTTCTTCTGTTTTTTGAAAAACTGTCTCCAAAAATCCTGATAAAACAGATGTAATCTTCAACTCCAACAGTATCCAGGATCAAAGTAAAACATGTTCTTCAGTCTTGTTTATAGTGCTTCCTATGAACTGAAGATTTTTCCAACTGATAAGAATCCAGCATAACTCTCCTCGCCCTATATTACCTTGTCCCATCATCCTCTGTAGCAAAACCTCAAGTTCGGAATAGCTGACAAAGATCCCACAAAGCCAAGAAGCTTGGTTAGATTATCCAGGGTTATTGTTGTAAACGCTGCTGCTGTTGATGGTCTTTCCTGCCTCTTTGTAATATGCCCCAAATGGTTCTATTGTTTCAGCCAGACCTTCGGAAAATCTCTTTTCTTTTCTTCTGGAACCAGAAGAGCCAGCTGTGCCGGAGAGCTTTAACAGAAAGGAAAAAAAAAAAGTCAAAACCTTGCGTCACTTAATGACTCTACTGGATTTGCACTGTCCTGCCAAGATCAACGTTGCCTCACCTCTCACTATAAACTTGAAACCTTGGCAAACAATACCAAAAAAGAAAAGAAACATCCTAAGAACAACAAAAATGAGACACATTCAAATTTATTACCAAAAAAAAAGCTGTGAGCAGCTTTATGTTCATGGGAAACTTCTCTGATAATTTTCTTAAAGAAAGTGGACATGCATATAAATAAAAGCCAAATACAAGCTTTCCCCAGAATCAGGCTAACAAAAAGGAAAACAAAATAAAAAAGAAATCACCAAGTAACCAAACACCAAATCTAGGAATTTCATTTATTTTGGATTTTGTGAGTACTTTTTAAAGATGTTGTCCATATATATGGTCATAAAAGATTTGCTTATGAGAAAGAAACAAGTTAGCAGTCTTGACTATTCTGAGGAAAAATGTCCCATCTAATAGAAACACTTGTAGTGAATAAGCCACATAACACCCAAGAAGACTGTACAAAACAAATAGCTTGTTTGTTTTTTGCCATAGGATCAGATAATTTGGGATATAAATCATTTAAACCTCAGATTATATTAGAGAGGCTAAAATCAGAGGTCATCCACTGACCAACTTGAGTAACATCAAAGCAACTACTTTCTCTGAAAGGAAATCCTCTAATTTCTAGTTTTTAAGATTTCCTACAAACTGCCATATCCACTTGAGGAACAATTGGAATGTGAGGTGTTAAATATCTAAGAGTTAACACTTTTCCCTTCCTACCATATGCACCACTTAAAAAAAACTGTTTGGACATCTTAATCTTGCTCTGGGAAAGTACCAGCCAGTGGAAAAATTGAGGCATAGGAATATTAAATGCTTCCACAAGACTGTTCTTTCTCTTCCCTCAATTCCCAGACTATTAGAATCTTCATAAACTACATGTCATAACTAAAGTATTTGAGTATACACTGTACCATCATATTATTCACTGTTTTTATTGTCTTCTATTTGTTTTGTACAGTATCAGTCATATATCCTGAAATGACTATGAAATGAAACAACAAGTAATGTTAGGCATGTGCTAAGTACTTAACACTATTGAATCTTTGTAATAGCCCCATAGGTAGACAGTAATAGTTCAATTTTGCATGAAAATAAAAGTGAGGCTTATAGATATTAATTTGCCAATTCAAAGCAAAATGGCATAGCTAGAACGATTGGTTATTAGACTGTCACTTACTTATGTATTTTATTACAGTATTCCAAGAGCTCCTATCACAGTGGGAGTCATAAGGAAGTAGTCACTACACACTGCCTGATGATTTAACACGACACCAGGAATGAACCCCACATATTTCACACAAACTACAGACCCTCCCCTCTCTACACACGCCCTCATACACACCCACTCAAGGCTATTCAACTTCTAACAGGCTGTGCAGCATTCCTTTAGGTCAACTGCTACAAAAGAATGACAAGTAACAAGGCTCCGATTTGCTCACAGCCAAAAGGACTTGGCAGGCAGGTAGGGTTTCCAGTATCCACATTAGGAGCTTACTGAAACTCAGCCTGCCCTACAACAACACATCCAAGTACAGGGAGCAAAGAAGGAAAAGACAGCAGTAGAAAGGGGATTACGGGGTTCTGAATGAAGCAGTCATTATATAGGGTAAGACAGCAGGTCCTCACATTTGTTCTAGGTTGTGGCAGAAATAAGAGGAGAGAGCAAAAAAAAAAAAAAAAAAAAAAAAAAATCATAAGCAAGAGAGGCAGTGAAAATGATCCAGGAAAATACTGATGACAAAAAGATTTCACTTAAAATGAAGTGTTTATAATCTCAGCTACTAGGGAGGCTGTGGAACAAAGATTAGCCAAATTCAAAGTCAGCCTGGACAATTTAGAAAACTCTATCTCAAAAATAAAGTAAAAAGGGCTAGACATATTCTCAGGAGAGCACTTGCCTAACTTGCCTCATCCCCAGTACTACAAGAAGGAAAAAAAGTTTAGTTCTAACTCTTGTACCAAAAGCATAACAACTCTCCAATCTCATTTACTGAGGTATATGAGAAGGTAAATTATAGCTCTATATCAATATGGCTCTAACAACTTGTTTTTAAAAAGAAAAAATTTTTCAGGCAGAATTTAGGATAAAACTGATGATAATCCCAAAACATGGGAGGCTGAGACAGGAGGATAATGAGTTTGAGGCCATCTTGGGCTACACAGTTAGTTCAAAATCAGCCTAGATTACACTGCACGACCCTGACTCAAAAAAATATCTGCAACTTACTCTGAAATACTCCAAAGCACAAATAGATAAAAAGACAAATGGTAGGGGCTGGAGATTTAGGTCAGCGGCATAAGCACCTGCCCTGCAAGCAGGCAGTCATGAGTTCGATGCCCGGTGCCAATAAAAAGGAAAAAGACAAAAAAAAAAAAAAAAAAAAAAAAAAAAAGACATACGGTAAAGTAGAGTAAAGTGCCTATAATAAGAGAACTTTGCTAAACAGTGATGGGAATTCTTTGTATTTCTTGAAATTCTCTGTAAGATTAAATGATTTTATAAGTTAAAAGGGAATTATATCTCTACAATATTTACTAAAAACTTATGCATTATTAGTGATTCAATACAGAGAACATGGTAAAATCATTAAAATGGTAGATAGTAACTATACTAGATAATACTGGCAATCTCAAACTTGATGAGGTGGAAAAAGAAAAACATAGAAAAAGTATAGCTATGAGGATAAAATGAAATGGAATACAGTCAGCACTATTTCCATGAAAAGGGGAGCTCAGAGCCTGGTGTGGTAGTACATGCCTACAACTCCAGCTGCTACAGAGGCGGAAGCAAGAGGATCCCAGGAGTTCAGAAGTATTTTAGGCAACACAGCAAGACCAAATTTCCAAAAAGAGATGAAGTTTGAAACACAGTATAACATAAAGTTGGTGTAAGGAACAAACAATATAGTGATATAATACAATGATGACCAGAGCTAGACTTAAAGATAGATAAATATTCAATTTATATATTTTTACTTTCCTGTATAATCCCAAATTACCTAGGACAGTGTCCTAAACTTTATTTTTTGCATCTGTAAAACAAGAATAGTACCTGTTTGACAGAGTGCTTGAGACATAATGAATAAAATGAAAGCACTAGCAAAGCTTAAAAACAAAGACACATGATGAATTTACTGAAGAAGTGAATTTTAGTACCTAAAAGTAAAAAGATAAATTCTAGCTGGGCATGATGGCACATACCTATAATCTCAGCACTTGGGAAGCTGAGACAGGAGGATTATTCCCAGTTTGAGACCAGTCTGGGCTACAATGTGAGCTCAAGACCAGTTTGAACTGCATAGTGAGAGCCTGTCTCAAAAAGACAAAAGATAGAGCTGGGAGTGGTGACACACTCCTGTAACCCTAGCACTTGGGAGTCTGAGGCAGATGGATTGTTGCAAGTTTGAGACCAGCCTGGGCTACAAAGTGAGCCCAAAACCAGCCTGAACTGCATAGCAAGACCCTGCCTCAGAAAGAAAGAGAAAAAGAAAAAGAAAGAAAACTTTTATTTTGGGTATCTCACAATACTAGTTAGAATACATAGAATACATAGTTGGGGGCTGGGGAGTAGGCATTCCATAAGTATTAATCAATCTTCTCACTCTCCTCTACAATCCTTCCCTTGGTGTTCCCATTGCTTTCTCCCTCATAATATGAAGCATCGCCTCTGTACTGATAAATCATAAACTCCGTGACCTCTAGAGCCAAATGATCAACTACATTGTCCCACTTTTACAGTAAGCTCAACATGTTCAAAGCAGCAGTCATATTCTTTCTCTTAGAGTTAGTTCCTCTACTAGACCCTCTTTTTGTTAATGTCATCTCCAGCCTCCCAGCTGCAACCTTTCAGTAGTCTCTCCTATGCCTCTGCCGCTTCCCCATCCAAAACACATAGATCTGTCAGTTTTTCCTACAAAAACCTTTTCTTGATTCTTCTTTTATATTTCAACAGTCATTTCTCTAGTTTATATCCCAATTAACGCCTATCTGAAATGCTACATTAATCCGTATCATACAATTATAGTGTTTAAAGTTAGTATTTCTCTATATCTCTAATTACTTATTTGTATGTATTTGTACAAAATGGGCAAGAACCTGAGTTATTCTTTAACTGTCAAACTATGTCAGTTGCCAATCAAAACTTTTTTCAATCTTTTTTGAGACAAGGTTTTACTATGCAGTTTACTAGCCTCAACTTCAGTGATACTCCTGCCTCAGCCTCCTAAGTGCTAAAATTATAAGCACACACAACCACACCCAGCCTGGCCAAAATATTTTTGATAGGACCCCTCCCATCTTCCCAGGTCCCAAGAAAACGAACAATGCCTAATCCGACCACTCTTGATCAGCATCATACTGAAGGTCTTAGCGTGTGAAATAAGGAAAAGAAATAGAAGGTGTTTCAGCTGCAAAGGATGTGACAAAACTGTTTTTATTTACAGACATTATTGTCATTATTCTACATTTTAAAGTCTCAAGTATTGTACAAAAAAAAGTCGGAGAGCTAATTAATTCAATAAAGTCTAAAATACTAATCAACATTTTAAAAAGTCAACTGTGGGCCCGAGATTTAGCTCAGCAGCATAAGCGCCTGCCTAGCAAGCACGAGGTCATGAGTTCAATCCCTGGTACCAAAAAAAAAAAGTCAACTGTGTTTCTGTACCAGCAGTGAAAGCTAATAGTCAAAATTCTTAACATATAACATATAAAAGTAGCTGGCTAAGGGGCTGGAGATTCAGCTCAGCGGCATAAGCACCTGCCTGGCAAGTGTGAGGTGTGAGGTCATGAGTTTGATCACCGGTACCAAAAAATAAAAAGTAGCTGGCTGGGTATGGTGGCATACACTTGTAATCCCAGCTCTCAGGAAGTTAAGGCAGGAGGATTGCATGAGTTTAAAGCTAGCTTGGGCTACACCTGGTAAGTTAAAGACTAGCCTAAAGTACACAGTGAGACCATGTCTCAAAAAACACTGGTTTCTGACCTCTGGGAAGATGGCACAGTGGTAAGCAACAGAGAAACAGGCTCTCTGAGATTTGGCATCCAGATGCTAGAATACAGCACCATGAAGATTAAAGGAAAGTGGGTCCCTGGGAACCAGCAAGGATCTAAAGTGAGAATTGAAGCCCACAGGTAAAATGAAGAGAGAGAGATCTCAACTCAGAAGAGGTGGTTTCACCCTGAGTCCTGGCTTGATGTGTGGGAGGGATGGCTCCAGCCTGCAGATACACAGTGACTACTGGTGACCCTAGAGGCCTCCACAGAGAAACGCACCAGAGCAAGAGCAATGAACTGTGGTGGCTGTTGAGTTATTTGGGTTCAGATATGCCCTAGGAGAGGGCAATTCGTCAGTAGCCATCTTAGAGCAGGGCCAACTGAGCTTAGAACTCAAAACAGCTGTGGGGGGGGGGGGCAGAGATGTAACTCAGCAGCTCGGTGCCTACCTGGCAAGTACAGGTCCTGAGTTTGATTCCTAGTACCTGAGGCAGAACTGACTTCAAACCAGCAAGAAGCACTCAGAGTGCTGCAGGTTAAACAAACTGTGTTCCAGCCTCACAGCCAGAAACCAGCCTGAACTTCAGTAGAACTAAAGGTGCAGACTTGCTGGGACTAAAGGTTCAGACTTGCTGGGATTATCTACTACCCTGTCATAAAGCTACAGCAGGTTTGCTGGGACTAATCGGCATGGATCTAGGCTCTGTCTGCCAACTTTTTCCACCAATGACAACAGAGAAATGCCTTAAAGTGGACTATTTTTTCTTATATCCATCTTTTATTTCTTTATTTTTTATTTTTGCTTGTTATAGGTTTTTTTTTTTTTTTTTGGTTGAACATTGTTTCTAGCTTTTTTGTTACTATTTTATTTTTTTCATGCTTTTAGTTCTTCTGGTCTATTCCTTTCTTATCTTCTTCACCTGTTTCCCAAAGTTTGCATATTCTTCTTTGTCCTCCGGCCTTGCTTTGGTTCCTCTTATTTCTCTATTTTCCCTCCCAACCCCTTTTAAATTTCCTCCCTTGAGGGTAAAATTGCTATATTGAAGGCATATTTACTGTATATAATTTTCTGGTTTTAGATTTTGTTATATAACCACAAACATACTTCATATGGTTTAAAGGTGGCAAATAAATAGTTACCACAGCTTATCATTTTCTAGACTGTGCTTGATGCTATTGTTATTGCTGATTATACTCCTTTAGCCAAGTAACAGCCTGAGTTCAAGGCCAGGCACTGTCTCAAAAAGAAGGAAGGGGGGCTGGGGATTTAGCTCAGCGGCATAAGCGCCTGCCTTGCAAGCAGGCAGTTGTGAGTTCGATCCCTGGTACCGATAAAAAGACAAAAAAAAAAAAAAAAAAAAAAAAAAGAAGGAAGGAAGGAAAAAAAGAAACAAAGAAGAAAGAAAATAATTTCTCAGATAACTATAGAGATTGTGACCATAATAAAAAAACTTGATTAGTGACTCTATAGCAGATACAGATTTTAAAAATATAAGATCTTAGGGAAATCATGGAAACAGTTTGTAATAGCTAAACCTTGGAAACAGCCCAGTTTTCCATCAACCAATGAATAGATAAAGAAGATGTGGGGATTTTTAATACAATGGAGTACTACTCTGCCATAAGGAAGGATAAGCTTGAGACATTCCTAGCTGAATGAATGTACCTTCAAAACCACACTCCTAAGTGAAATAAATCAGATACACATATAACTTTTTTTTCTTTTTTCATTTTTTTCTGCCTTTTTGAGACAGGATCTCTCTATCCAGTTCAAGCTGGCCTTGAGCTCACTTTGTAGCCCAGCTAGTCTCAAGCTTGCAATGATCCTCCTGCCTCAGCCTCCCAAGTGCTAGAATAGACACCATGGTTAAAGATCATATTGCTTCTCTGGTGTGAGAAATCAAAAGCATACTTAAGGACCAAAAAATGATAGATATTGGGAAATGGGAAGAAAATGTTTAAATGAGGAGAACCAGGGGGATAGGGAAAAAGAAACAAGAAAATAAGAGACTGAAAGAAAAAAGCGGAAACAGAATTTTTGTAAATAAGAGTTTGAAGGGAAGGGACAGGAATGAAAATGGGGAAAAAATAAGTAAAATATATCATGCACAGGTACAAATTTTCTATGATGAACATTACCATTATGTATCTAAAATGTACCAATAAAAAAATAGTTTCTGACAAAATTCTAAACCTGTGTAGTAGTAAACAGGAGAAATCATATCAGAATCTTACTACCATGATGTTCTCAACTTAGAAAAATGACATAAATGACGTATATTTTATCATTGTTGAATAAACCTTAAGCAGCCCCAAGTTAGCTTGTCCACAATGTTTTTCCTTTGCTATCAGAAATTGAATCAGGACCTTGTGCTTGCCAGACAGGTGCTTGTGCCACTGAGCTATATTCCTGGCCCCAGTCCAAATTCTTATGTTTAATCATCACTAGTTGGGACTTCTGGGGGTTTAATAAATCAAAATAGTGTACATTATTTTGTTGTCTCTAACATCAAGGGCTTGGGAAAGTAGAACCTAAAATTGAGAAGGAAGAATATTCTCTGTTATCTATGTCTTTATGTAGAAGTTAAGTTATATATCCCACCTTCTGTCAACCTAAAAAATAAGTCAAAACCTTTTCATGCATGAGTTGATGGGAAACAATAGATTCTAGCTATTCTACAGATTCCTACATCTAAAGGCAGATTTATCAGACAGTAATGAAGTTTAAGGTTCTGGGCTCCTCTCTTACATGGGCCCTCAAGATCTAGTATCTAATTCACTATTTTTAAAGTGTTTTCCTAAATGATTAAAATATTTATATGCATGCACAAATCTGCCAAAGCAAAACCCCATGACTCTGTACATGCACTAATTTTAAAAAGCAGAAAAAATATCTAAAAATAATTTTTAAAAACAAAAGATGTTTTTCTCACTGAGTACGGTGGCACACACCTATAATACCAGTTTGAGAGGCTGAAGAAAGAAGATGACAAGTTCAGGGCCAGCCTGGGGAACTCAGCAAGACCCCAACATAAAAAAATAAAAAAGGGCTGGGCATATAGCTCAGTGCAAAGGGTCAAGGTTCAACCTCCAGTCCAAAAAAAGAAAAAAGGGTTTAATTTAAAGAGGATCCCCTGCATTATATAACTGTATAAGCTTCAGGTCCCAGAGAATCTGAATCTTTCTCAGATTGTATTTCAGAAATTAATTTTATTGGGCCAGGGATTTAGCTCAGCAGTGTAAGCGCCTGCCTGGCAAGAGCAAGGTTGTAAGTTTGATCCCCATTACCAAAAATAAAAAAATGTTTAAAAATAGAAAAGGAATTAATTTTATTGTTACATGAGAAAATGCATAATTCAAAAAGCTACTTTGCCAGGCATGGTATCACATGCCTGTAATCCCAGCATTTGGAAGACTGAGACAGGATGATCACCATGAGTTTGAGGCCAGTATGTGCTACATAAGTGAGTTCTAGGCCAGCCTGCCTATGGAGTGAGATCCTGCCTCACAAAAAATCCAAAGTACCAAATAAAAAGCTACTCTGAGTTCAATTAACAAGTTTACATTATATGAATCAAAGCATCTAATGTGTTATCCATTGTATAAATTTTATTAGCACTACACAGACCTAAATTACAAGGTTTGGTTCACAGTTGCTATGTGGATTCTTGACTACAGTACTGCTACAAGGGCTCCAAAATCCACAAGATAGAAATGACGGAGCTAAATGGAAACAGTCACAGCAAAATTCCCAGGATTAGAGGTACGGCTCTGGAAGCTGAAATCTCACTACACAACTCAGACTGGCCTCCGACTCAAAGTCATCCTCCTGCCTCCTGAGTACTGGAATTACAGGCATGTGTCTCCATGCCCAGCTAAAGACCTTTCGAAATTTAGAAATAGCAATTTACTGCTCTATGTTAATGAAATACAAAAGGATTTCTTCATAGTAAGAATATATAATACAATATAATCTGCAGTCATTTTCCTCAAGTCAAAGTAAACCAGGCTGTGGCTGTAGTCAGCCTAATTAATCCACACTGTATTCCAACAAAGTCAACTTCTCTTAGTCCCTGTTTGTTAGAAAGCCCAAGTAGTCATTCAAATGAAGCTGTTCCTTGGTCATCAAGAGACATGACATCTAGAAGGACACTAGACTAGAAGAGCCTCATGCCCTAGGGGACAGTGGGATAAATGAAGTCCAGAGACCTGCAGCATAAAAGACTTCATTATGAGTAAGTCATTGAGAGTAACAAAAGCTACACAGAATTTGTTCCTTCAAAGACGAGGGACCCTTTAATAAAACCAGGTACAAGGTGCAGGAAGCCTAGAAGGGGACAGATCTTTCAAGGGAACTCACTTCACAAGAACTAAAGTTTGATAAGATCTCTAAGTAGATACTACTAATTTTATGTGCAAAAACCCTATGGCATTCATGCAAATAATAGTATCAAAGTATCTTCACCAAAAATATTTACTAACTACAAAAAAGAGTAACTTTAGTGGAGAAACTTAGCAGAAACGACCTTAAATAATCGAGGCCACACTCACCAGTGATAGCCAGGTGTGTTAGTGCACTCTTGTAATCTCAGGACTTAGGAGGCTCAGGCAAGTGGATTGCTGGAAGTTCAAAGGCAGCTTAATCTACATAATGATTTCAAGACCAGCCTGAACAAAAAAAATCACCATTGATAATAAACATTGTGTCATAAATGTCTTATTATGATTGAGAAAGATACAACATTATTTCTGTGGTACTGTTGCCTAAACTACATGACACCTGTTCAATTTCAATTAGGCTGTAGTCAGCCTAATTAATCCACACTGTATTCCAACAAAGTCAACTTCTCTTAGTCCCTGTTTGTTAGAAAGCCCAAGTAGTAGCCCAAGTAGAGAAAACGAGACAAATTTGAATAGAGGGTCACCTGACAAATAATCAATACTCTCTAGAAGTATAGAGATTATAAGACACAAAAACTGAGAAACTAAACTGGGTGTGGTGGCATGTCAACAGTCCCAGCACTTTGGCTGGGCCTGGTGGTGCATGCCTGTCATCCCAGTAATCAGGAAAATAAAGGCAGGAGGATCACCACAAGTTCAAGGCCACCACATGGACAATTTAGCAATTTAACAAAACTGTGTCTCAAAAAATGAAAAGGCGCTGGGATTTATCTCTCTCTGAAAGCCCTGTCTTCAATCCCTAGTACCCCCTACAAAGAAAAACAAAACGGATTAAAATCTTTCAGCCAAAACACTAACTTTTGAGTACAAAGAAGAATTCACACTGGAGAGAGATCCTATGTATGTAAGCAATGTGGAGAAGGATTTGTTTATGTATCTTCATTGTGTAGCTATAAAAGATACCATACTAGGGGAAAATACTATGTATGTAAGCAAGGTAGGAAAGCTTTTGGTGGATCCAGTCTCTGTCAAAGTTATGAAAGAACTCACAGTGGGGATAAACTATGTATGTAAGCAACGTACAAAAGGATTTGTTGATATGTACTCATTTCACGGGCACAAAAAAACCTCACATGGGGAGAAACACTACGTATGTAAGCAATGTGGGAAAAGCATTCAATACACAAAAATGCCGTCAAATTCATGAAATCATGCATACAGGGTAGAAACTCCATGCACGTAGGCACTTTGGCAAAAAATTTGCTGTAGGGTCTTTATTTTATAAACATAAAAGAACTCACACACAACTCTGCATATAAGAAATGTGGGAAGAATTCAGGTAACACAGACCCTAATCCTTAGAACAAGACCACACTAGCCCCAAAGGCTATGTAGGGAATGTAGGAAAGCCTTCAGGATACATGAGTGCTGTCAAATATGTGAATGAAATCACACTGAGGAGAAAATCTACACATACAACTGTTTTGAAAATCCTTTGAAAAACACTCATGTTAGGGGCTGGGGATTTAGCTCAGTGGCATAAGTACCTGCCTTGCAGCAGGCAGTCGTGAGTTCGATTCCTTTTACTGATAAAAAAAAAAAAAAAAAAAAAAAACAAGCAAGAAAGAAAAACATGCATGTAGAAGAGACTTGTAGAAATAATATAAAAATCATGATTTCAACATTTATTCACAGTTGGACATGGTGGCACATGCCTGAAATCCTAGTACTCCAGACGCTGAAGCAGAGGATCACTGCAATTTTGAGGTCAGCACGGGATACAAAGTGAGTTCAAGGCCAGCCTGAACTGCACAGTGAAGCCCTGTCTAAAAAGACCAAAAAAGGGGCTGGGGATTTAGCTCAGCGGCATAAGTGCCTGCCTTGTAAGCAGGCAGTCATGAGTTCGATCCCTGGTACCGATAAAAACGAAAAAAGACAAAAATAAATAAATAAATAAAAATGAAAAGACCCAAAAAAGGGCTGGAGGTTTAACTCAGCGGCACAAGCACCTGCCTGGCAAGTACCACATCATAAATTCAATCCCTGGTATCAAAAAAAAAAAAAAAATATTCATAAATTTTCGAGAAAACACTCCCAGAGGAGAAATCCTAAAGTGCATTCATTCTGTATTTTTCAGTAAATCACTTGTAAATACTTTAAAAATTAAAAAAAAAAAATTAAAAAGCACGCAGATGAATAAAGAATAATACCTGCAATGTGTAATCCTAAATAGGATACTGGAAAAGGAAAAAAAAATCAGCAAACATAACATTTAAAAAAGGTTTTTAATATAATTAAACAATAGGATTACACCAATGTTAATTTTCTAGTTCTAATCTTTGTATTATGATTACATAAGATAATAACATTAGGGGGAGCTAGATGAGGTAAAAATACTGTACTATTTTTGCAACTTTCTATAAATCCAAAACTGCTCAAAATTTTTAACAGCTTTTTCAATTACGCTAATAATTCACTGAAAGAGCCGGGTGTAGTGGCTCATGACTGTAATCTTAGCACTTGGAAGGCTAAGGCAGGAGGATCTCTGAGTTCAAGACCAGCCTGGGCTACAAAGTGAGCTCAAGGCCAGCCTGAACTATATCATGAGACCCTGTCCCTGGTACCGATAAAAAAAGGAAAAAGACGAAAAAAAAAAAAAAAAAAAAAAAAGACAAAATAATAATAATAATAATAATAATTCACTGAAAGAAATGGGTCCAAAGAGAATTGAATTATTTAGGAAATAATATCCCCATTTAAAGATACATAAAACAAGATAGATAAACAGTAAAACAGAAGATAGTGACATAATTGGTGATCCTGGTAGAGTCCAGTCAAAGTTTCAGTGAAATCTCATGATTTACTGTTTCACATAGAAATATAGCACCTAATGTGCTAAGTTTTATTACTTGAAAAACAATTTCCAAGAGACTGACTGACCTAGAACGAAGTAACAGAAAAGTTTAAAACTCTACAAGATCAAGGGTAGATAAATGGAGCTGGGGACTTAGCTCAGCAGCATAAGCACCTGCCTTGCAAGCAGGCAGTCATAAATTCGATTCCTAGTATCGATAAAAAATAAATAAATAAAAGAGCTTCTTTTAAAAAAAAGGGTAGATAAATGTGAAATAATAGAAGTCTCTTTAGAGTTATGCAGTGATAGAATTATTCATTTTTTCTAATGTCTCAGTTATTTATAATTCACAGATCCATTTCTATAATCTGTAATCTCCTTACTTTAAATCTTAAATAAAGACTTAAATTCAAGGCTGGGGATATTGAAAGGCTTTTGGCCCAGGCTGGACACTGTAACCGGAACCAGGAAGCCCCTATCTCCCCCGCCCCTAGGAATTTACCTGTGACGCATCTTCCCAGCCCCTGGGAATTTGCCTATGGCGCCAAACCTAGGACCAATGGGCTACCTGTGCATCCCTGATGCCCCCTTAAGTTCCACCCCAAACTGAGGCTACTTACATACCCCACCATGCCACGTGTCCGCTGGAGAGATTGCCTGACTCCAGCAGTGCAGGGGTGTCGGTCATCTCTCTCTGTGTTCTCAGAATAAAGGCCGCTTTTTTTTTTTTTTTTACTTCTCATCTTTTGGAAATATTTTTCATCTTTTGGAAATAATCCTATCAGATATAACTCAGCAGTACAGTCCCTACCTGACAAGTACAAGGTCCTGAGTTCAATTCCCAAAACAAGCAAACAAACAAAAAAGATTAAATTCATTTTCCTTACAAATATAGTGAAAAAATTCTAGACCAAACAACAGAAATTTAAAATTCTACAATATGAAAGCTACAACTGGTAACTATTTCCTGTTTAGAAACTAGGGCTCTGATTTAGATTTCTATTTTCTCTCATTCTGTTTTCACTTGTTGCTAAGATTCAGATCCTCAGCACCTCGGGACCATTGCCCCACAATTCCCCCCATTGCCAGCTTCATTTTCCTCATTTACTCCCTGACCAGCTACTTCACTGGCTCTCCACTTTCATTTTGTTTTCACTGTTGCTAAGATTCATATCCTTACTACTACTGGCCCTAGCATGTCTCTCTCACTTATCCTCCATTCTGAATAAACAAGTGTTACAGTCTGTGTCTGGATGTCCCCCCAAAGCCTCTTGGTCATAGAGGTAGGCTTCCAGAATTTGTTGGGCCACGGATTTAGCTCAGTGGCGTAAGTGTCTGCCTGGTAAGCGTGAGATTGTGAGTTTGATCCCTGGTACCAAAAACTAAAATAAAATATAATTTGTGATTGATTCATGATCCAATGCTGGGATTATGGATGAGAGCTACACCCACCGTGGGGCAGGTAGCCCACATACAGCCTAAGGGACAGAGAGTCTTCTCTTGTACTTCTCTCTTTTTGCTCAATGCTTTTGCTGTCTTGCACCTGCCATGAATGGTAGTCCCTCTGCCATGTGCCACTCTGCCTTGGAGCCAGCTGATTATGGACTAAAATCTCTACAAACTGTGATCTAAATAAACTTTTCCTTCCTTAGTTTTGGGTGTTGGGGATTTTATCCTAGCAATGAGAGAAAAGTAACTGATACAGAATTTGGTATTAAAGAATAAAGTCATTGCTGTGACTATACCTGAGCATGTGGTTCAAGAGCCTTTGACAACAGCTTGTGGGAAGAGTTTGGAAAGGTTTAGAGATGTTGCCTGGAAGAGTAGCACTGGAACTTATTAGGCTGTGCTGTATGGGAGATTCTGGTCAGAGCTCAGAAGACAGAAAACCAGCGAAGATCAGATTCAGGAGGTTTCTGCTGGGAAGGACTACAATGGCTCCTGGACTCCAGACAATGTGTGCTATACTTGGTCAAGTTTGTCTGCATTTTGTTCATGTCAAGAGATTTTTATCTAAGACTGAGGTTAAGGGCAGTAGACTAATAATAAATCTGGCAGAAGAAATTTCAAGGCAGTCTAATGTTTGTTTGTTTGTTTTTATTTTTTGGTGCCAGGGATTAAACTCACGACATTATGTTTGCCAAGCAGGCATTTACACCACTGAACTAAACCCCCAGCCCGAGGCAGTCTAATGTTGAAGCAGTGGCAGGGCTATTGCTCAGGGCTTCTAGCCAGATTTACACTGTAAATCAAGAGCAAAGTATCTAGTAGGATGATTTAAATCGTTGTGAGTTTGGTCAGAAAGGAAACTCCAGTAAAGCTGTGCAGTACAGTAAGATTATAGACTGAAACCTCTACAAATTGTGAGCTAAATAAACTTTTCCTTCCTTAATTTTGGGCATCAGGTATTTTG